AAACAGACAAATGTGGAATATTCTGACTTCTCCTCTAAATATTCCTCCAGAGCAGTACAAATCCAACTCACAAGTCATAGCTTGTTCAGAGGTATCTGTTCTAACCAAAGCTGGTTAGAAATGCTCCAATAAAAACACCCTAAGCAGACTTGGCAGGAATTCACCATTGTTCCCAGCCTTAGGACTATTTGCTAGGAAGGCCAGCTTGGTCAGCAGGCACTGCAATCCCAGGCAGCTGCTCAGCAACACTAACAGTCATTGGTGGCATGGGAAGCAACGCTGGCTCTCAACTCACAGAAGGTTTCACATGCAATTAGTTTCAGCTGGATTGAACCACGATGGGTTTTTATTTCAAGAATTTCCTGCGAGCACAAAAACATGTTATGTCAGCCAGTTTCAGCATCATAAACTTGGATGTTCTTGCCAGAACATCCAAAACTCCTTATAATATTGTTCTTTCCTCTCTTCAGTGGCACTGGTAATAACTTCTGCAGCTTAATTATGCAGCTATACACACACACACACATATATATCATTTCAAGATAGTACTTGATTTCACCTTACTGGTGTTCACAGCTTTTAAGTTTTACAATATTTAAAAGTCAACACTTGTTTCTGAACCTTAGGTTAATAGAGCTATACAGGCAGCTATGTACTTCTAAAGTCAGGCTGTCACTCCCACATCAGGCTGCTTACATTTTGTTTGCTTTTTCAGGAGTTTCAAACTCCTTCCACAAACTGTCAACTTCTTGGAGTTTTTTCTCATTCAGAACCTGCAGACAAAAAAACAAACAAAACACAAGTATATTAAAGCACTTCTGAACAACCTTCAAACCTGCATTCAGTAGAGATGACCCGGCACAGATTCATGGCACATCCTACCACTGGAAGTTACTGCAAATTGAGTCAACAAACACAATTATGGTAATCTCCAGTCTCACCGTTCCGTCTCAGCATCTTCATCCCACCCGGAATGCAACTGATTTTACAGAATTACACTTGCTTTCAACTGCACGATAGAAGTTGCTCAACAATGGCTAGGTCCTTTTGAACCTGCACCATCAAAGCAAAGCCCTCTCCTTGTTTATCAAAACTGGTCTTGCTCCACCTCTTAAAGGATTCATTCACAACCCCAGTGACCCAAAACCAAACCTGTCTCTATTCTGGGAAAATACAAACACGTCTGGGACACCTCACAGGAAGGAGTGATCCCACACCTTATTTTCATGAATCCAAATGAGCCCAAGGAAGAAAGGACATCACAGTAGGGATGACTTTTCACCACAGCTCAGTAATCATTTGAGTTAAAATTGCTTAAGACAGAGCAATGGCTTAATCCACCTCTGGTCAGAGGGGATTCCCTTTCAGTATTTAAACAGGATAAGGATAACAATTATGCCATTAGACCCTGCACACATTTCACAAAATGCTGAGTGTACTGCAAATTCCTAGAAAATTGCTCAGGGGAACAGCACCAGCAAGATCCTTATAACTTTAAGTTCTTTATACCTCAGTAAAAATGCTGGATTTAAGTTGTGACAAGCTCCAACACAACTACAATTTGATTTGGTCAAAAATTGTTCTTGCACCCTTGCAGATTTTTAAATTGAAGTCAAAGGAGGTTCTTTCTTTATTTTTTTAAATTAATGCTGAGCAAATAAACATGATGACTCATTTCCCACGGGTCTCTCAAGCACAAGACAACCTTTGGGCACATCTCCCCCTCCCCAGCCTATTGATTCTTTGCTTTGGATTCATCTTTGATATGGAGTGGCTTAGTCCTTCCTATCCTGAAGCTCAGAGAATTCTCTGTCTCTATAAACAGACATCAAGAAAAGCACAAGCATACAAGCTAATAATCAAGGTTGCTAGTATACAGAAATTATGGCTGCCTATGGGCATTTTACATCCCACCAAATACTGAGATATATTGGAACAAGACTTCCAAGAACTAGAACACTCGCCTTTACTTCGTACACACTCTTCACTCCTCTGATGGGAGCAATACCTACAAGAGAATGCTGAAGAGCCACTCAGCTTGCAAAGGAAGATGGTTCTGTTCACCAAAGCATAAAGGCAGAGCACAGTTATGTTGGCTACAGATAGCTTCTGAACACTGCTGAAAAGAGAAGTGGGTGACAACTGTTTCCAAAAGTTCTGAAACCTAAATTCTCTTCAGTTCTCAAGGAATTAAAGAAACAAACTAAACAGTAACTATCTTTAGAAGCTGTCTAAAAAACCCCAAACACTATAGTGATTACTTGGATACAGAACAAACATACAGATATGACAATCACATAAACTTGCAGCTAGTGCGTGGAGGAAAGGAATACTCTTCCTTGTCCTGTACATGTGCAGTGTGCATGGGGAGTTACAAACAGAACAAGCGTGGAAAAACAAAACATGCTCCCAAATACACATCTTAATAAAATGTTAATTACGCTCGGTTCTAACAGACAGCTTCCAGCTCTCTTGCATTCAACCCACACACAAACGCAGTTTGCTCTACCAGGGTATGTTTAAAGTCTGCAAGGGAATGCTGGTGCTTGCTGCCTGGCGCCCTCTGCTGCCCGGCAGGGACACCACAGCTGGGCCCAGCACGCAGCTGCTGACGTCAGCAGCAACACTTCTGCAGCAGAGTTTCTTCAGTTCTGCGTCTCTACCGCCTTTATTTTAAGCCAACCTTGGTTTCATTGGCTTAAATATGGGCTGTTTACAGCCCCTCCTGACTCCTGCAGAATTACTGAATAGAATCACTGAACCTCCTGAGTCAGAAGGGACCCTCAAAAATCACTGAATTCAATTCCTTGCTCCACAAAGGATCAAAAGTCAAACCTCTGCCCACGTGCACTGCCCAAACACATTCTGAAGTCCCGGCAGTTCAGGGCCGTGCCCACTTCCTTGGGCAGCCTGTTCCATGCCCACTGCTTTCTAGTGCAGAACCTCTCCCTGACCCCCAGCTGCCCGTCCCCTGACACAGCTCCATGCCGTTCCCTCGGGTCCTGTCGCTGTCATACAGAGCAGAGCTCAGCGCTGCCCCTCTGCTCCCCATAAGGAGCTGCAGCCACCATGAGGCCTCCCCTCAGTTCTGCTCTCTGGACTGAACAAACCAAGGGACATCAGCGGCTCCTTACACATCTTGTCCTCAACCTCTTCCCCATCTCTGCTGCCCTTCTGCAGATGCTTTTTAATAGCTTTATACCTTTCTTACATTGCGGTGCCCAAACCTGCACGCAGTGTTTGAGGTGAGACAGCACAGCATAGAGCAAAGTGGGACAAAGCCTGAGCTCCACCACCTAGCTAAGCAGGGCTTGACATTCAGCATTACTATGCAAAGACAAAGTGTTACACTGAATTTGACTCATCACCACATTAGTTACTTTTTTTTTCACGCTAAAATAAAACTCTCGTTAACAACAAAGCAGCAGAACGATAGGCCAAAGCCTGGAACCTTGGAGCAGCTACCCACATTCCTCCATACAACCCGCAATGCGGGCTCTCGGCCTCCCCCCCGGCTCCCGCTAACTCCGCTGCTGCGGGCAGAAGCCCCAGGTCTGACGAAGAATACTGACCAACACCCGACTCCCCTCCCCAGGACAGACACGCCACAACTCCGCGCCGCCCACCAGGCCCCAACCGGGCGCGAGGCGCGGCCGCCTCACTAACCTCGGACCGCGCGCCAATGCCTTACCTTGAAGATGGCGTAGCCAGCAGCGGTCTCGAACAGCACCAACATAATGACAACGGAGCGGAGCAGGACCGGGGGCGGCACAGCCACGTGCGCGCACGCACAGTACCCCCCCCTCCCGGTTAAGCACGCGCGCACCGGAAGAGGAAGCGGGCGCAGCGGAAGTGACCTCACCGGTAGGGGAAGCGCTGAGGCCGCCCGTCGCGCGCGCTCCTACGGGCCACGTGGCGGGAGGCGCGCGCGGCGGACGCGCGCAATGGGCGGGGCTGGGGCTGCCGCATGTATAACCGTTACCCTATGGGGGCGGGCATTTAGCGGGAGTGGCTGCGCGAAGGCAGGGCGCTGAAAGTCTGGCTGTCGCTATGCAAGTTTCTGCCTATAAGTAGTAGCCTACTGGGCTGTGCTGCGACCGAGGGCCGTGCAGTGGGTACGAGCTGAGCGTAGTCCCTCTTTTGTTGTGCTCCCGTTGCTGCTTTCGGAGCTGCCTGTGCTGCCGTCGAGCGCGCGGCTCTCCCTGCCCGCCGGGAGGGGGCGCTGTTGCACCCGGGTTGATGCTGCCGTGCCTTACTGCCTTTTATGCAATCATCCCCATGAGTCAGCAGCGCTGCGTTTCCTGCCCTGTGCTTGTGTAAGGGGTGCGCTGGGAGGCCAGCAGCCTGAAATACAGGGATTCGCGTTATTCCAAAGGGTGTTTCTTTTTTTTTCTTTTGCCGTGAGAGTTCTTTTTTACTTTCGATATTGTAATGAATATTTAAGCCTTGTAACTAATAGCATTATCAAAGAAGCAACGTTCACCTCAGGAGGTCGTTGTCAGATTGATGCGCCTACGTTCAAAGCCCCGTTTCAGTGCTGATGGCCCAGGATGTCGTTTGGAACGTTATATTCACCCTTTTTACCAGCATGACCTGCTCCTGAGCAGCTGTGCCAGCGTTAAGAGCCAACTAGGTGTATTTAATGTTAAAAAACCTGGGTTTGGTAGGTTAAAGAGGCTTCTCACAGGTTCTGAGCAGGAGCGTTGCAGCCCTTCTCTGCTCGGCTGCATCTGTGGCCTCGAGTACAGAGTTACACCTCAACCTGAGGGCATGAAGGGGAGCTCACCAACTCCAGGTGACAGATTAGTTGCAGAGGAGAATCAAGGAAGTTATAACACTTCCCACAATAGTCTCATTTAATTCCTGAGCAATGGTAGCAGCGATGGCTTTGAGTGTTCTGAGAAGAGCCTTATGTGTGCATGTTGTTTTCTTCAAAGCAGTGTGGTAGTGTTTTAACTGTGAATATATAGTATATTGAATTTACTCAGCTGAAGAAGAGGAGCGTGGGCTTGTTGATGCCTTTCCATCTTTCTCACAGGTCAAGGAGCAGCTCCGCAGACACCGCACGCAGCTCGTGCCCTGGGGCCGCGACTTCTTTAACGAGGCGGAGCGGCGAGTCAGCGCGGTGTGTGCGGCCGTGCACGTGTCAGAGCCGAGCCTTTGTTCTGTATGGGGGCAGGCAGCTGTGCGAGCGTGCGCTTTTATTGCAGAACTGTGTAAGAAAATGGGTAACGTTAAGAATTACGCTCAGGTCTTACGCTACAGCCACACCGGTATACGGCTACCCTTCTGCATTTAGAGCTGTGCTTTCGCTTGTGAGTAGCAACGGCCTATAGGGTGAGGTTTGTTTTATTGTTGGTACCGTGCGTCGTTTCGAAGCCGATTTGGGGAAGGGCGTCGGGAGCGTTACTGAACTGACGCGCTCCCCCCAGCGGCAGTGCCGCCCGGCCCGCTGCCCGGCAAAACGGGCCGTCGGCGCCGCACCGCCCGCGATATGAGTCGCGTCCGCTGCGGGCCTAGCGCGGCGCCGGCCGATAAGCAACAGCGCAGTAGGCCGTGCCCCGCGTCCCAACGCGGAACGAGCCAGGGCGGGCAGAGCCGAGCCCCGCTCGGGCGGGGAGGAGCCGGCGGCGGGAAGTGAGCTCAGGCGCACAGGAAATCCCGCCCGCGCCGCGGCCTGTGTTTGCGCTGCGGGCAGAGAAAGGAGCCGAGCCCCGCAGCGGCCCAGCCGAGCCCGCCGCCCGCCCCGCGCCCAGCCATGTCGGACCAGGTACGCGGGGAGCCCCGGCCGCGGGGGGAGCGGCGTCTACGAAGCCCCGCGGCCCGGGCGCGAGGCGGGAGCCGCTCCCTCCGCCCCCCCCCCCCGC